AAAAAAAAAAAAAGACATGCTAAAAAAATCAGACTCAGTTACACAATATCGAACTCTATTTTAACAAAAAATACTAACCAATATAACTTGTAGCTTTCGCAGTAGAAGAAGGCACAACTTCGTCAGCTTGACAGCCAGTCGTCAGTTTAACTAGCGAACTTCCTCCGGTTCTGAGAGTGGTTGAAGGAAGATAATTTGGTGAACTCTTGTCATCTTTCTTTGTCAGCTCAGACAGCAAATTCCTGTGTTCCTTCCATTCCTCATCTTTACCTTGTCGTGAAGCAAAAAGCCAATTTTTTGTCAAAGGTAAGGCTGATTGAGCATTTAAAGGCTGCCCATAATGGGTTGTGAAAGCTTTCCCGAGATAATACAAAGCCTCGGGTCCCTTCAAGAGTGGTTCCAACATCCTGATACGAGCCTTGCTGATTTCTCGCTTCAAATCCTACAGGACAATGAAATATATGTTAAAAAAAAGTCCATATGTTAAAGAACACAATGAAATATATATGGATTAAGCCCTAACAGGAGCAGCATCAAGACCTGGATTTGTTCGAGTACAAAGCGCAGCCCCTTGATCAAGGCAATAACTTGTGAATTCTGTGAGCCAACGCTGGCCTGACAAGTCTCTGCCAGATCTTTTATAAATTGCTGGTGCTTTTTCTTCAGTTCATCCTCATATGCCGATGCTGCGAGCTTTCGTAGAGTGACTAACGCACATTCTAGGATCTTCCCAAGATAATCAGTGTCTAATTTTCCAGAATAGAGCACCTAAAAGACAAAACGACCAAAAATCAATTTTTTGTCTTTCAATTCTGAATAGAACACATAAAATTTGAAAAAAAAAAAAAAGGATTATCCCTGATTTGGATACCTGAGCGAAAATTTCCAGGTCAAGAGCTTCTGTAATTTCTGTTCTCCAGCTATGAGGGGCCATTGCACAAATTCCATCCCTCACCTCCCTCGTCAACTCCACAGCACGGCTGTAGTCGGGTTCATTCTGTTTCATGGATTCAGCAATGCCGTCCCAGAAGGCCTTCTCCATAGTCTCTTTTATCTTAGCCTGGTGAAATGAGATTAGATTACAAAGACATTTTTATTTAAATTCAAGTAGAGTAGCAAATAATAAATTTACATATAATGTGAAAAAACTGCACCATAAAGTAGCAAAAGTCGCTAACCATGGCATCCCCTTGATAGTAGCCAGCAGAATTGGAGCTATCGGCCCAAGAGAGGGGTTCCCCATGAACATATTCATTTACAATTCTAAGATTCTCCACGTCCAAATTTCCTTTAGAGGAACTGACTTCTTTGGGAACAATTTCATCCCTGAATAATGACCGAACCACTGAACTTTGCTTTTGAGAGGTCACAGATGAGCTATTGGCCTTTTCTGAGCTACCAGGTGAAGAAGAGGAAGCTGAACTTGGGGATAACATAAGTGGGGTCAGTGGTGTAATAACCATGTTGCCTCTCTCCCTTGCTTCAAAATATTTCGTTCGAGTATCTGAAATTGCATCTTCCATACGCTCAATACCGGCTTCTCCGCTCAGATGTAGGATTTTCTCTCTCAGAAGTTTTTGATCTGCAGACACCTGCATTATGCAATAGTACAAGCAATCACAAAGAGTAATAAGGTATTAGCAGAAAAGCCGAATTTGAATATAACATAGTACAAACCTGTTTCTGAATAGCTTTCATGTCATGTGAAAGAGGGGCACTATTATTCCCTTCAGGAGTCATTTTGCAGGTCTGAATCATAGAAAGTTCGAGTCGGCATGCAGCCCTTACCAAATCCTCCTCGAGCGACCTGGCATCCTTAGCCTTCCACACCACAAAGCTATTCAAAAACGAGCACCAAGCAGAATCAAATGCTGCAAGCTGAGACCTGAATGTCTGACGCTTTAACATGACACCATCAAATTCCTCATCGGGAACCTGTAAAGGCCCATTTAGAAGTATCTTAATCAGGAGCTCGAACTCATTCACAAACTTCTCAGCAGATCTCACCAAAGCTGTCTCACGCTCTCCTTTTCCGCTGATAACAGCATCTGGATGACCCAATATCATGTAAGCACACAGAACTATCCTCACTTGGTACCTCGACAATTGTGAAGGAGTTTTGGCAGCTTTTTTGGCAGATGAAGATCTCCGTGGTGTATTCTTCTTGGGGGAGGCTACTCGCTTGAGGAGGTGATCTATGTCATATGATCCAGAAGGATCAAGAGCAGATCGAGATACTCTAAAGCGAGTTTCAAGTCGATCAAGCAACACTTTGGTAGTGTTAAGAGCGTAACTTGACTGTATAAGAAGTGCAAACTGCTCAAATGGCATGGACTTCACAGATGTTCCATTTATATTTACTATATTATAAGCTCTGGCAAGATCTGCAGTAGTTTTCTTCAGCCTTCTGAACTCCCTCCAGCACCTGAAGTATTAGAGACACAAAATAAACGAAGCCAAAAGACTGCAGGATAAGCAAGTCTGAACTGAAAGTCAGTATTAGTGATCAACATTACCTTGATAATTTAATAGCAAGGACTTCAGCATCCTCATGAATTGTTTCCCAGCTATTATAAATAGCATTATATGGTCGTCCCCTCTGCTTCAAATATTCTGCTCTGTTTCTCCTTGCCTGTTCACATAACATTCTGATAAGTTTTCTAAAAAAAGGGACCATACTGCACGAGAACCGAATATTCTAAATGTTCTTAAACAAATAACTAATACCCGCTGCAATCTGTCTTCGAGCTTGTTCCTCATTTCACTTCTCTCCATCTCTCGCTGGGTATTAATATTGCTGGCTGCCTTCTGCACCTGCAAGACCCTGGAACGAGCTCGCCGTTTTTCTGCTTCAAGCAAACCCATCCGCTTTTTCTCTGCATCCGCCCTCTTTTGGAATATTGCAGCACATGCTCGTTCTTTATACTTGTTCTCTCGAGCCATCCGCCGCATTAATGACTGTGATATCCTCTCTTTCAGATTCGCTCTCCTTTGATGATGAGCTCGAAGAATACGCAGTCTGTTGGCCTCCGCCTGGCGAACCCGCATCTCAACCTTTGTACCCAACTCATCACGTTCCCTTTTGAAGCGCATTTCCACCTGTGATTTAGCGGCTTGCCGCAACTCATCGAGCTTAGCCAGGCGCATCTGCTCATTCGCCAGGATGCTCAATCTATTATACCCAAAAACACAGTATCAACAGATGAAGGACATAAGGAAGTTAACCAAAGAGGATGAGCAGAAAAAAGTTTTTTTAAAAAATAAATATAACAATCAAGTGTATGCAAAAGTGTTTCAGATTCCCACAATCTTTTATCATTCTGAAGCATGTTATTGGGCCAAGGTGAGGACTTTCAAAGTCTTAACAACTAAGGGGAAGGGAAGATATGATTTGATGGTCATATAAATGAATGATTGGGTAAACTACTCCAATTAATTTGGCTTGATAGGAGAACTAAGCCAACCTCTTCTCTTCAGCAGCTAAGAGCTTAGCCTCAAGGCGTTGTCCAGGATCACCTTCTTGCGACGATGATCGTGAGGGGCTTCTGGGTTTTGGCCTAGCCTTGTTTGATAAACTCTCATAGAATTTCTGCAGTTTCGTTAATGTGAAATAATGTTAAAGCTTCAGATAAAAATATCTAAGAACAAAGTGCAGAAAAAAAAAAAAAAATGTCAAGAAACGGCTGCTATCATGGGTGAGGTTATTTTTATTTTATTTTTTTCATTTTTTTTTGGTGGGGGTTATGTCTGTGTTTGGGGTTTGAGTGGGCTGAGGGAGGGGACCACACTCAGACATGCTTGCTCAAGCCATCTTTTACACCTACCACAAGGAGAAAAAAACAGAACCTTCAATTGGAAAAAGCTGGCCCAGTAAAAATGGAAATTAATAAATATAAAGAATTGTATCCGTCCAAAGGATGAACAGTACACGCAATCGATCATCTTTCCCAAAATTGTCAACAAGTGAAAAACTCGCAACCACAGATGAAATAAATACACAGCGCCAGTAAAACAAATAAAGAATACCTGACGTCTAACATCAGCCTCACGGAGTTTGGCTTGGATTTCTTCAACAGTAGAAGGCGGCGGCGTCTTCGGCTCGGAGAGCCTCCTCCGGAGCCACGGAGGTATGGTCGGAGGCGAGCAGGCCAAAACCCCTTCCCCCGCCGGAATCTCCATGGCGATCCCCGCCGCCGGCCTCCCCCTTTCCGGAGACTCCATCACCCCCTCTCCGGCCAAAATCAATTCAACCACAAAAAAAAAGGCACACAAAACGACTCAATCAGCGTTCAATCCTCCGAAACCCCAGCTCAAGAACCGATCAAACCCCACTGTAAATCCACCACTGTCCAGAAACAAAAATTATCACTCAGTCCCAACAAACCGAAATCGATTGCAGAAAAATTAATCCAAAGCCAAGCCAGATGAACATACAAAGCCTCACACAGCATATATACAATCAGAGAGAGAGAGAGAGAGAGAGAGAGAGAGAGAGAGAGAGAGAGAGAGAACACGACGATTGGGTTGAAATGAGATGTTTTTTCGTTGGAAAAAACAAGCTTTAAAGAGTATTCTTGAGAAAGCGTTTTTTGTGTTGAAATCGTGTTACGTGAGAGATGAGTTTCTGAAGAAAGCGTGTTGTTATTGAGGTTTTGCGTGTCCAGTTTTGGTTTGGGTGGGTAACGGTACAATTTGGCTTTGTGTGACCAGAAAAATCAATATCGGCCACGTTTTCTATTAATTGGACCGTTTAATTAAGCTTTAATTGCGTGATTGGACGATTTTGCCCATCCCTAAGCTTTTACTAGAAAAGATAAACTAGTACGTACCCCGTGCGATGCACGGAACATAGATATTAAATGAGTTATTTTAACGCCTTGTCCGTTTAAATCTTAAAAGTAATAGTGTTATTATCTATTTTCTACCTCTTTTGATCAA